CAAATACATGTATCAGAAGATGAAGTCACTGTGGTGTCACAGAATTAGAAGTTTGATTTGAAATCAGAAGCAGCAGCACAAGTAAAGGGGACTATTCATATGGGTAGAGTTGGTACTTTATTTCATGAACCTAAGTGTGTTAGGTTCATATATGTGTTCACACACACATATTGCATAATATGTTGCATGTACATGCTGCATGATTTGGTTTAATGGCTTTCTTTCAAGGGGATAGCCAGAAGGATCTCACTTTTCATGTAAAATATAGATGTCTTCTACTTTTCTTTATTTCATATCCAATGAACATAACTATGATAGAGGAATATTATTTACATTTATAGACAATGTACATCATAATAGTGTTTGCTGTATAATTATATATCACCAGCTGCATCATTATTTTTTGCTGGTAAAAATCAGTAGTTTTATATCACCACTACTCATGGTACTGTGACTTGGAAAATGGACATACTCTCCAGCAGTTTGTTTTATGACAAAATACAGATTTTTATGTTATATTGCCCTCCTTGAAGCTTGATTTAAAAGTACTACTATACTGGGCCCTCCCTGGTGGCGCAGCGGGTTAAAGCACTGCACTAGGAAGCTAAAGCCACTTCCACATGAGTTCAATTCCCGCCTGCCCCGGAGGTGACCATATGGTGCAGCAGACTTCTCCTGACCGGCCCGCTGCTCCCCTCAGCAGTGTACTTCGTCGATCTGCCTGTTCTGCTCCCCACTCTGTCTCTGGTGAAGCCTCTCACCACCCCTGAGCCTCTCGCCTGTACCCCAGTTGTGTATGCACAAATAAATAAATCTTAAAAAAAAAAAGTACTACTAAACTTACAAGCAAAAAAATAAATAAATCAACAGTGAAGCACTGATCTCAAGACTTTTGGGGACAGTGATGAGGGCAGTGGAAATCTAGACAGCTATGTAAATTGGGCAGCTGCTAGCGTACATGTATATAAGTTTAGGTGTTGCTTCATTCTTTGCCTGACTTGAGGGACCAGCTGAGGGGTTGTGTTGGCTGGGAAACTGACCCACTAAATGGATCTGTAGCTTTTCTGCAGTGACCCTGGAAGGCCCAAGGAATTTTTTTTCTAGCCCTCCCTCAAAATGATGTAGAATGATGCTTTAGTCCCTCAGTCTTAGTGCGTAGGTGGTGACCATATCCAAATTGACAACAGTGGCTGTCATGAATCCCACCCCCTTGTGATTAACACATGGTTTGGTGCAACTGGACTATGTTTTAGGTTTTTCCTGTGAAGCTTTTAGTTTAAGTTATTATCTCTGGCAAAATTTAGGGTTATAATATATTTTGCCTTTGGAGAAATGGCTTAAAATGTTTTGCTATTGTTGATGTAGATCCTTTGGTGTTATGGGGAAAAATAGTCCTTAACTGATGTGAAGGGAAGGTAAGATGTATCCTAGTCCTTCAAGATTTCCAATTAACTGAACCTTATCTCTCAATAATGAGTTGATGTAGATGTTTGAATATTAAACAAAAATTTAGATCCAAAACTTGGCTTTTTTCAACAAATATTTTTGGAAATACTTTCCTAGTGAAGACTCATCTTCAGTAAATAGTTTTCATGGCAAAAGTAGTAAAATAAAATTGGCCTTCTGCCTAATTTTACTAGCATTCACATTTCCAGCGATTTCTGAATTGGTTTCCTCTGCTATGAATACGTGACAACCTGTGATTTATGGATTTGGAATAATTAAATTTCTTGGCTGTCATACACTTAGAGTAAGAAATATTACATATGTTTCCAGAAAATGATTTAACGAAGAAAAGAATGAAGTGATGCCAATTTCTGAAACTTTATTTGGAAACTGTTTCTAACCAAATGGCACTTAAGATGCTCACTCTAAGTTTCTGAAACACGTTTGCTAAATAATCTTCGAAAATGTAGTTTGGGACATAATTTTCTGAGTAAGCTACTCCTGCACTAAGTCACTAAAAAAATAGTGTAAAGTAATCTATTGATGTTCTTACCTTCCCACACACCAGAAATGTGGATTATTCACTGCATGACAGGTAGTAGGAGTGGCAAATTTCTTCAAACATAGAAATTATACAATATTTAGTTAATGTCAAAGTATTCAGAGATTTAGCAGTCTTTCTATAAACAAAATTTTTAAAATATAAAATCTCGAAAGCAACTTCTCAATTTATTATAGGTTCAGCCTATTCTATACATTTGCTACTGTTGCTTAGGCCTCAAGTTTTACTGGTCCATAAACTTGGAATTCCATGGAGTAGTCTAACCAACTCTTTTAGGGTGATCTATTACAATGAATACCGGGTGGTTGGGGAAGAACCTGGGTAAGTACTGAAGTAAGCAATTCTGTATGTGCTTGTGACTAGTACCGTTTTATCAAATTTTCTGAGAGTGTGGAAATTTTTATAGTCATTGTCCTTAAGTAGCTATGTAGTAGATTGTAGCTTATTCAACAGAGAAACTGAGTATTTAGCTCCTTTGTAGTTGAATTAAACAACCAAGTGGAGAGGATAGTGACTACTGGATCAGTAATACAGGTCGGCCTTACAATAGTGTTTATGGGCTTGAGCATTAGCACTGCATTAACATCACCTATGCTCCGATACAGCATTAACACTGGCTGCTTTGGATCATGTTCAAGGGTTGTTCTCAGTGGTGCTACATTAGGGACAACTCTTTCGTATCAAAGAGGTGAAAATTTGTCAGAGTTATTGCAATGACAGAGTTATCCTTATGGTATGTAGTGGATAAAAACAGGCGTACTTAATGACCTGGAATGTATAGGAAATTCTGTACAATTGTTTACCCAAATGCCAGCAGGAGTCAATTAACAAGCCCAAATAGGCCAACAGAGTTGTCTAAATATTGTGATTTCATTTGTGAGTTCTTCTGCAATCTTAGTCCTACCAAGAATGAATTAGGTCTCCTGTGGTCCACATTTTATTTCTTCCTGCACTCTCAAAGGACTTTACTTTCTTACTATTCACATGTTGTCCTATATCTTCAAATACTCCCTCTTTATATTTGAGCATATTCTAATCTTTCCTATTGCTAATAATGCTTTTTCAATTCCATATCTAGTTGGGTTTATCTTTCCCCAACAAACAGCAATCTGTTCCCTGCCAATCTCAAAACAGCACATTTATTCATTTAGCTATCATGGGAAAACTATTTTCTGTATCATAACAAAAAGAAATTCCACATCATATGTAATTTCAAAACACCATTTTATTACATAGGCATATCAGTAGTCACAACTCCCCCCCCATATTCCAATCCGAATAATCATATGTGTGTACACACACAAACACACATATTTAAAAACTTACAAGTACACATTCTCTTTTGTTTTTTATACTTACAATATGTGAGCCTTTTTGTAGCTAGTCTTGATAGCATACCAACCAAATTAGTTTCACATTTTTTTTCTAATTTAGTATCATATTATTTTTCCCCAAGGGTAAGCTTATGCTAAAATTGGAATCACTTCAAATATTCTAGTTCATAACTCAATGTATTGTGAAAATTAAAAATTCAAGTACTTTAACAATGTCTTCATAACTTCCCCCACTTATCTCAAAAAGAATAACTACACATTCTAAATAAATCACTCTAACAACTGAGTCCTGAAAACATTAAGTGAAAATAATTACACTGAAATATATATATATCTATATTTGGTTAAATACACTGTAAACTATTTGTATAATTGTGATGACTGTATTTCTTCTTAATGCTATGTCAACATAATGATATGCCTACTTTTGTCCTTTAATGTATGATTTCATAAATTATTTTAAAAGGCATTAAAACATCTTACTGTTATTTAAACTCTGTATTATACAAACATGTCTACAAAGAAATACCACCTAAAATTAGAATTGGTGGTTATTCTTTCAGTACAAAACTACATCCTCAGATAATTCAGTAAAACCATAAACACACAAAATATCTCCATTATATAGTTTAGGTTTTCAATAACAAAGATCATGACTGCTTGTGGCTTTAAATGAATGGCAATGATGTCGATTCATTTTCTGATGTTGCATTTTTGGACAATTTCTCCAATCTAATAGTTAATGAAGTTATCCAAATTAAGTTAGGCAACTTCAAAAACTACATCCAACAACTATAGTTCAGTTATTTGAATATATATATATATATATATATATATATAGCCAGATTTTCTTATGAACTGATTTAACATGTTGCTCCAAAATTAAAAGACATTCAGATTTCCATTAGCTGGAGTTGTTGTTATTTTGTTAGCATAGCTAAAATGCACATTTTGCTTCTAAAGTATAACACATTCTCATACTAGATAGTAAAAGTGTTAATTTACCTATGGTTCAAGCAAATAACTCATAAAAATGAATGAAAAATGACAAGCTTTGGGGAAAGCAAAGTATATGAGAGTTATATATTTTTTAAAATATTAGCATTTTCTTTATTTGGTGCCAAAGGTTATATTCTCATAAATAACTTCAGAGATTATGCTATCTTCTTGCTTGTATGTATTGTCATAGGTCGCTTTTTTAATATTCCATTGTGGAAAAGAAGGATTAAATCTAGCTATATAAATACAATCCTACCTTTTTCTTTCCCTCTATAGACAGCTCTTTCAGGTTCTTTGGATATATGTATTCTTAAAAATTGTTTGCCTGCACTGTGTCATAGAAACTGTAAAACAAAACAAAACAAAACAAATCTAAATTAAATTAGAGCAAAGTTATTTCATCTTTTGGGTATATCTCAATTTGTCCTTTTATATTATTTAATTGAACCGTAAAATATTTGAAATATGAATGTCATGAATAATCAGTCATTAGATCTATATTTGTAAAGTGGAAGTGTGTGTGACTGAATGTTTATAAATTGGTATTAACTAGTATTACATAATAACCATAATAATAGTAAAATATAATCAAATAGTTAAATAATCTATCTTTATAATATATTACTCATATTATTCAATTCCATAATTATCTGCCACAATGATATTTACACACAACAGACATAATAAAAAGAATAAGAATGAACTAATTTAGTTAAAATCAAATATGTGATTTTAAGTGCACAGAAAACCTTGAACATTTTACTGCTTTTCCATCTCTGTGGAAATAGATTCATGGTAACAACCAGAGAATCACAGGTTTTTCCTACCTATTTACATTCATGAATTCTATAAATATATGCTGTATATATTTACTATATTTACAGTAGTATACATACACACACGCACACACACATACTTGATTTTATTCTTTAGCTAATTCATGAACATGCAGATCAACCTTCACAGTACGATCAAAACAAGTTTATTTCTCATGAATGATATTCATTTACAAGTTTTCACGCTTGTGCAAAAATGCAAAAATATCATACAGATTAGTATTGTCTGTCTCTAAAAAATGTCTTTTTAATACTTTATTTTTTATTGTTTACAAATAAATTATGAAATAGAGTTCATTCACAAATTGAAAATAATTACAATATTTTTATAACAAGGCATTGCTGAGGTGCTGGATTGTGGCATTCTTGAAGCCATCGTCTTTCAAAACAAAGACATTAATTAAGTGATGTTATTTACTGATAGTCTCGCTTTTTAATGATTTATATGAAATGTCATTACAAATCTGACACTCATACTAAGCAAATAGTGTTTGTCTAGAATGTGACTCTTTCATCCACTTCCTCTTTCTTTTTCTGAAATGTTTTCATTAGAACAATCTAGAAAGAATATTGAAATTACCGTGCTAGAACATTTCTGAAAGATTTCACCCAATTTAAAAAAAGCCGAAGAAATAAATGAGGCAAACTTGCAGACGAATAATTTTAGTGTGTGCACAGGAGAGAGAGAACAGCAAATGCAAAAACTGTTTTCAATTTTTTCTCCTAGTCCTTTGGTATTTTCTTGCCTCATGAAAATCCTAGAAAGTGTTTATTTCTTGAAAACATTCATTATATTCTTCCATTAAATATCAACTGTGGTCCTCCGTTGCTCATGTTGTCTGTCATTTCCTGTTAGAAAAATAACATTAATTTATTAAAATTCACATTCAGAGCAAAACATTGATTTAATTGCTAATGGGTTTGTAAAATAGAAGTTTTCAAACCACTGAAAAATTTGCTGAATTTAGGGGAAGGACAAAGATTGGTATTGTTGCATTTGAGGAAATGAAATTTTATGGCATCTTGGCACACATAAAAATGCTGAAGTGACAGACTTAGGCCAAAGTCTGCGACCCACAAAAACAGTTTAATCTCTCCCCAGTACCCTGAGGTTCCCTTTTGTGCCTCAACTCTACTTTGAAAAAAACCTCACCTAGAAAGAAAAAGTAGGTTAAATGCCCAAGTTTTTCCAAAGCAGATGCTGCTCTACTGAGCCTGTCAACAGCATGTCAACAGAAAGCCAGGGGAGTCTAGGGGGTTACCTCATTGTATAGAAAATGGTGTGGCCATCTTGCTAAAAACCAAGGAAGGCCCACAAGGCAGGATTACTTCTTTGTCACTATGAATCACCCATAAATCACAAAAAGAAAGATTGTTTCTCATTACACTGTCATTCTTACAGTTAAACAAAAAAAAACAAAACAAAAAACAAACAAATAGTAAAACTTCTTAACATGTTTTAAGAGACCAATTACTAACAAGGGAATAAGGAAAACTATGTGAAAAGGCAATGAAAATTTAGACACAAAGAATGAACTAACATCAAAGTTCCATTTGCAATAATAGAAAATAGATTAACTTAAGAAAAATTTAGATGTTCTGAATTCATGTGTTTCATTAACATTAAGCTCTTTCCTATATAATAAAGGGTAATGAGCAGTGAGTCTCATTCATGTTACATATATCCATTCAGTATACATGTCATAATATTTAGGTAATACTATCAAAAAATAGATGACAACATCTTTTCACAGTTGAACAAGCCTATTTGCAAAAGACTGGTAAAAACAATTCAAATGAAAGTTTATTTCACAATGATCTCATGTATCAGTTTGGATGACTTTTATTTTGGGTGAACTGAATATTTAAGAGTAATGTCTATACTTTTGCAACTTTTCCAATATTTATTTTAAAAAAATGATATTCAAGCCTCAGTTTTAGTCTAGTCTAACATTCAGTGTAAGAGATGAGAGAAAGTAAAACTTTTTGTCTTGAGTGGCTTTCAAAGGTACTTAGGAGGAGCATTAAGAAATTGAAGATAGAAATTGTCCTGACTTGAAATTAGCTGTTAAAAACTCTGTTGTCTCTTAGGAAATGGGCAAGTTTCTTTAAGGAAAGTCTTGGCAAAGGAGACAATATTTTTGGAGATATCTTCTCCTTTCACATTAAGATCTATCTGTCTTAGGTTCCTTCTAAGTTTTGTGGGGGGGCTGTCTTGCACATGGGTTTTCATTATGTCTCCCTCAGGAGGTGAGGCATACACCCCCAAAAGTGAGAAAACACAAACCCCTTCAGGGTAAAACCTATGTTAGAAAGGAGAGAAAATCCCGAGCTACCAGCAGCCTGCCTCTATGGTCTGGTGATATATACAGTTTAGTTTTATTTAGAGACTGATTCTGCTAGAGTTATGTGTGGTAAAAGTAGGCCTGAAAATATGGGGGTCATTGGTCTGAGGTAAAGTTTAGAGATAAGAAACCTGATTTGAGACTTCATTCAAGACCTCATGATTGGTGGCAAGATAGATAAGATTCTTCCAAACTGATATGTAACATTTATTTATACTTCCTCTTCTATTACTCCCCCTATAACAAAGAAACAATTGTCCAAGGAAACCATAAAAACAAGATTCTTAAGTATATTTTTTCATTCTAAAATTACGTTGCATTAAAAACAAAACTATTCTAATACATAATTTATTATTGTAGGGCCTCTTGGGAAAATCCAAATTTTTAAAATTTTACAAAGTAAAGGATTTTCTTAATGAAAACTGATCTAATATATAGTCTTCAAACAATAGAAACTGACAAAATCTCCGATGGGAAATAACAGTAAAAATTAGTTTTCAAAAGGATGAGTATCTAAAAAAAGAAGATGAGTATCTTTGCAAATAGGCATGTTTAATTAAATAGGAAGATTATATTCTAAATTGCAAGAGGAACAAATGTGACTATTTGAAAATGGATACATTTTCTGCATTGGGACATAGTATCTATATATCTTTCTCTACTTGCAAATACATTATTTCTCTATGTCCAAATATATTTAACCAAAGCAAAAATGGAAAGCATTTATTTTTATCAATCTAAAATGTGGGTAAGAAATTTGAAAGGCAATGCATCCAATAATTTTATAAGTAAAAGTTTTCATACATAATTTTGTATTGTATTATTGTGAAACTTGAGGTTTCTTCTCAGGCAATTTTGACATGAGGGAGAGACACAGTCTGTCTGTGTCAAGCACATCTATTATTAAAAACAAAACTCTGGTGTGTGAACGATGGTACTGAGTCAAAATCATGAGGTAGCAGAGAATACAGGAGCTGTGAATCATCCAAGCAGAAATGTGTTTGGATGGTTATGGGCAGGCTGAATATTTTAAATACTCAACCAACTTTCAAGCTGCAAGACTCTGCCATGTAGATCCATGTCAGGTCCTCAAAGTAGCTTTCATGGAAACAATACTTTGAGGAACAACATCACAGCATCAGCCCAGACTGAACTGCTGACATCATGGCTTGCTAGAAGCAGCAGTTGTTCCTGCAGACATCACAACATGGTAACTCCCTAGAAGTCAGCGTACCTTGTAGGTAACTCTGGTGTCGGGGCCACCACCGGGCAGCTGGGCAAGTCGGTAATTTCAATTGCCCTCAATCTCTAATATAAATATAATAATCATACAATAAATATTGCAAAACATATCCATAAAAAATGAAATCACACTAGCATAAAAATCGAGCATGAAGGAGCCCCTATCTAAATATAGAATGATAGCCTATTATTTAACCAATTCATTTATTTTAATTACCTAGCTTGCTATTTGAACTATTCTTAAGGACAGAGATAGGGCTCTTTAAAACTGCCAGTTTGGAACACATAATTCTATCTACTCTCCTAATTTGAATATGTAAACTGTATATGAAATGGAAATATATAAAACAACAAAGTAATTTTTTCAGGTAACATAAATATGTGGTAGTAACTCTTGCTCCTCTTTCCTGTTTTCTGTAGATATGCAGTTTCATCTCCATATAAAGTAAAATATGATGTGGACATTATCTTAGTTTTAGTTGATTTTATAGAAGTTTCTACTTTTCCTTCATTAACCCAGTAGCAGAAACTGAATTAAGAAATATGTGCAAATGTAGTAGACACACTATTCTGTTTGTCCTCTTAGGTAATAAATGTAAGACCCATTTAGGTTTCATAAAACAACTATGTAAGGAATATTTTTCAAAATACAGACAAAATTACCAAGTATGCATAAAGTTTAGATAAGAATTAAATGAAGCTTTATGTGGAATGTAATATCTGCACTGACTGGCAAGGCTTTTTGTTGCCTTATTAAAAGATCTATTTATGCTTGGAAATCTAATTTACATAATCAAATGCATCTACTTACAAGGACAAGGGGTAAACTAGAAAGAGGGATTCATCCAATTTCTAAAACTGGAATTATTGAGTGGAGAATAAATTTAGTTTACATGTTTTTCCTCAGTATAATACATAAAAATCCATATTTAGAAGGCACTCAATATTTTATGAAATTCTATTTTAGGACCTGTATTTTCATATAGAAAGGATGACAAATGATGCTGCAAATAGTTGTCACCAGAATTAGAGGAAAAATAATTTTAAAATTTCAATGCTCAGTCCAATGGGCTGCATTTTTATAAAATCCAGTTCCTCAACTTCTCATCTGAAGCTGCAAGTTGACTGCAGTGATGAAGAAAAAGCACAGACTCACTTTCTCGGCCATTTCATGAGAGTGATGCAGCGAATGTTCCCGTTCTGAAAACATCCTCCTCTGTTCATAGCTGGCAAGTCGACACGTGAGCCATGAAGACAGTGTGCAACCCCCGATGCCGATGCACGCAAGCGACATGGAGGCCAGATGCAGAGGATAGAGGGACGACGTCTTCTTTGTCACTGCCCGGAGGAATTGAAAATTCAGGATGCCCCCAATGAGCCCACAGATGCAGCAGGCAGAAAAGAGGATCATCTGAGATGGAACAGAAGGGGTGGTAAAGTTGATGGAGCAAGACTGACCTGAACACTGTGCATGTCCTGCACATCACAGGTGGCTGATGGACCCTAAAGCAAAGGTGCTTTTGGTGTTCCTAGAGGAACAGACTCATCAGTTCATCATTGTCTATGCGTGCTCATTCAATGGAGAGGACACAGACCACAGTGGGCACAGTTAGGTACAGTCAGTAATTAATCGCTGACTCCATACACTTAAAAACTCAAGAATAGAAGTTGTCTAGGTAGAATCAGATTGAGGTACTATTTAAAAAATATCTACTTTTGGGCCCTCCCTGGTGGCACAGAGGGTTAGAGCACAGCACTGAGAAGCTAAAGCCACTTCCGCATGAGTTCGATTCCTGCCTGCCCCGGAGGTGACCACATGGCGTGGCAGACCTCTCCTGACCCGCCCGCTGCTCCCCTCAGCAGTGTACTTGGTCGATTTGCCTGTTCTGCTCCCCACTCTGTCTCTGGTGAATCCTATCGCCGCCCCTGAGCCTCTGGCCTGTACCCCAGCTCTGTATGCACAAATAAATAAATCTTTAAAAAAAAAAATCTACTATACCAAGAACTTAAACAGATGACATCTCATTTAACTCACCCAGAATTCCTTTGAGATAAGGAGTTTTAGAAAATGAATGGTGAGGAGATAACTCTCAGATTTAGAAACTGAGTCTGGATTTTCTGACTTCAAATCTGGTTTTAGTATGTCACTCTCACCAAAATACCTTAAAATCTTCTCATTGAATTACCATTAATTCTACCTATTTATTCTGTCTAGAGATATAACCTTAGGGAATATCCTTAAGTCCTTTTGTCATAATTTGTATTTCACTTTTTTTTCTCCATATGTAAGTCAGGGCCTGTCAATGAGTTGGAGTCATATCTTACAAATGTGTTGTGACTCTTTGATACAACAATGAAGAATATACAACAGAAGCTCCAAAAATACTATTTGAATGGTTGTTTGGGAGAAACATAGGATACAGCTTTGCTTTTGATTTTACATAATCCAGGTTTCTTTTAATAGAGCTAGAAAAGACAGAGAGGTAAGCATTTTTATGTAACTTAAATAAAATAGAATTTCTGACAGACCCCAAGCATAGTATTTCTGTGAAGTGCCTGTATTTGTGAATATTTAATAAATTTATATGAATAGTCCAATTGTTTTAATGCTTTTGTTTTTGTATCTACTCTAAATTATATGAGTTTTCACGAAAACTCATAGTGTGTTATTAGCTTAATTATCCAACCTTATTTCTATACTTCCCTGGAATACTCTCTTCCTGTCATCTGTATTATTCATCAATACAAATTGTGCATTCCCACATTTATGACATTTTTTAAAATTTTCTTGAAATAATTTTGCTTTTCCTTGGATTGCTCCTAGATGGAAGTACCCCATCAAGTCTTAACTTCCTCAGAAAACCTTCCCAGACTGTGCAGATCTCCTCCTTCAGCATAATTCCACAGAGCAAACAATTATGTAACTTAATTTAATGTTTAATTTTACATTATTAGGCATAGTTTGCTGTTTGAAATAAGTTGAATTTAGCAAGCACTTATTAACCCCTAACATCTGCTAGTTCCTTCTGAAGCAGCAACTAGCATTACAAAAAATGAATAATTTATAGTTATTTCCTTTGAGTGCGTTGTAGTTTGCATGAGAGAACAGTCAGTTTCACATGACATGGCAAGTATTAAGAAACAGGGATGATGGCCAGTCTATATTCCCAACAACAGTGTATAAGGCTTCCTTTTTCTCCATACCCTCACCAACACTTGTTTTGAGTTTTTTTTTGCTTTTTTGATAAGGGCCATTCCCATGAGTGTGAGGTGTTTTTCAATTACATTTCCTTGATAAGTGATGATGAACATGTTTTCATGTCCCTGTTAGTCATTCTGTGTGACTTCTTGGGGGAGTGTCTCCTTAGCTCTTCTGCCCATTATTTGATCAGGTTATTTGTTTGTTGTTGTTAAGTTATATGAATTCTTTGTAAATCTCGATATTAACCCTTTGGCATGTTACTATAAAGTATAAATGTAAAATGTAAAAATGCTTTCTCCTATTTTTAGGGTGTTTTTAAATTGTAATGATAATTTCCTCCACTCTGAAGAAGCTTTTTAGTTTCATGGTTAATCTCATTTGTTTATTTTGCTTTTATTTTCCTTGCTATTAGAGTCAAATCCCCAAGACACCATGGAAGTCAATGTTACACAGTGCTTTGCTCATGTTTTCTTCTATGTATTTTGTATTCAGTTCTTAGTAACTGGTCTTAAATCCATTGAGTTAATTTTTGTGTATCATGTGAGATACTGGTCTAGTTTCATTCTTTAGCTTATGACTTTTCAGTTTTCCCACACCCTTTGTTAAAGAAACTTTCCTTTCTTCATTGTATATTCTTGGCTCTTTTGTTGTAAAGTAACTGTTCACATTAGTATGGATTTATATTGGGGCTCTCAATTCTAACCCATTGGTCTGTGTCTATTTTTATTCCAATACCATACTGTTCTTATGACAATAGCTTTGTATTACTGTTTGAAATCTGGGAGTGTGATAATTTTGTTCTTTTTTTTTTTCAAGAATTGCTTTGACTATTTGGGGCCTTTAGTTATTCCATATAAATTTCAGTAATGTTTGCTATATTTTTGTTAAGAATGAAATTGCAACTTTTGTAAGGATTGCATTTAATTTGTATGTTGCTTTGGGTAAGATGACCGTGGAAATTGTAAGGAGGTTTTTCAAAATATTAAAAGTGTATCTACCATGTGATCTAAACACACTCATAGGTCAAGCTAAAGAATGCAAAAATACTAATTTGACGGGATATGTGAAGTCCTATGTTTATTGCAGTCCAATTTATAATAATCAAAATATGAAAAAACCTAAGTGTTCAAGAACAGATGAGTAGATTACAAATATGTGGTATATTTACCTAATAGAATACTACTCAGCTATAAAAACAAAGATAAAATCTTGCCATTTGCAACAAGAATGGAACTAAGTGTATTATGCTAATCAAAATAAGTTAGAGAAAGACAAACACCAGATGATTTCAGTCATGTGTGACAAAAGAAACAACATGAAGGGGCAGAAAAAAACTGAAGCAAAATAAACTATCTGTATAACTGAGGGTATAAAAAGTTGAAGGTAGGGTTCTGAAACAAATTGAGGTGGGTATCCAGTGAAGTGGGCTGCAGGATTATGAGTGCTTTGGTGGTCAGGATTATGGGTGCTTTGGTGGTAGGCATAGTGTGGTAACATAATGTCTGAAGAGGAGGCAACCTATATCCCTAAAACATATACAGTGTTTTAAAACAATGTTATCTCACTAAAAATGATACAGCTAAAAGGGGCAGAGAGATGGCTATGCTCAGAGAGGGAGAAAGGAAATTTAACTCAATCAGGGAATTCAGAGGAATTCCTTAAAGTCACATGTCAGTTACAAGTAGGGCAAGGCCATAGATGTCTGAAATCAAGTAATGACATAACATATGGCCAAAAAATACGACAGGTAGTTCATTTTGTTTCTCCAACCTAATTTGGCTTCTTTATAGTGTTTGTCTTAGTATTTATGACCAACACTAAAAACCCGGCGATAGATGAGTATAATATTTTTAGAGTTAATGAAACATAATACTGAAAATTGATTGCCCAATAAGTCAGCCATATCAAAAATATGAACTCGTAGCTCTCGATTTTAAGTTGAATCAGCCACTTATATTCTTTTCTTTCTTTTTTTTTAAAGATTTATTTATTTAGTCATACAGAACTGGGGTACAGGCCAGAGATGCGGAGGGTGAGAAGATTCACCAGAGACAGAGTGGAGTATGCAGAACAGGCAGATCGAAGAAGTACACTGCTGAGGGGAGCAGCGAGCGGGTCAGGAGAGGTCTGCCTCCGCCATGTGGATCTCCTCTGGGGCAGGAGGGGATCAAACTAATGCAGAAGTGGTTTAAGCTTCTTAGTGCTGTGCTTTAACCTGCTGCACCACCAGGAAGGGCCAGCCACTTATATTCTATTGTAAAGTATGGACAGGTGACATGAAGTTACAGGGAATATATTTTGGTGTCTACTCATTCTTAGAAAATATTGAAAGATATTACATCTAGCCTTTAAGTAATGAATTACTTTTAATTAAAGAAATAAGTGACAGAACTAATTTGCAATTGCAGGAAAGATCTCTCTCTCCTGGTTATTTTCATTAAGTTTTAAAGGCATGGCACTTCACTAACATATGGGTACAGAACCTTCTAATGTAAGGATTAAAAATCTTAAAATCGGGGCCCTCCCTGGTGGCGCAGAGGGTTAAAGCACAGCACTGAGAATCTAAAGCCGCTTCCTCATGAGTTCGATCCCCGCCTGCCCCGGAGGTGACCACATGGCGTGGCAGACCTCTCCTGACCCGCCCGCTGCTCCCCTCAGCAGTGTATGTCGTCCATCTGCCTGTTCTGCACTCTACTCTGTCTCTGGTGAATTCTCTCACCCTCCACATCTCTGGCCTGTATCCCAATTCTGTATGCACAAATAAAATCTTAAAAAAAAAAAATCTTAAAATCTATACCCAAGTTATGACCATGCATTACTTTCAAATTTCATAAGACTGAAATTCTAGGTTTCAGAGACACTTGGAACCTAGAATTTCACATCGTTTGAGTAAAGTGTAGAGGAACTTCAGGTAGCATGGAAGGGTAATGTGGGTGGTAGTTTCAAAAACGTTCAGATTTTAAGACTTTTTTCTTTTATGTCTTATAAAAGAATTAGAAAAAAATTACCTGTGCTCAATATATATATTTCTCTTCTCTTCCTGTCATTTCCCTCTGCTATTGAACAAATCTGTGTGCCCTTCCAAAACTCACATGCTGACATCTCATCCCTCATATGACAACTTGTGAGGTGGGACTTTTGTGGGATAATTAGGTCATAGAGATGGAATCTGGTCTCTTATAAAAGAAACCCTAGAGATAGAGACAGAATTCTCTTCTCGCTTTTGCCATGTAATGGCAGACCCAGGTTTTAGAAACCCTACAGAGAACTCCCCACCAGAACCCCACTATACTGGCACTCTGATCTAGGACCTCCAGATCTGTGAAAATAAACTTCTGTTGTTTGTAAGTCACTAAACTTATGGTAATTTGTTCTAGTAATCCAAACTGATTAGACATCTCCCCTTCTTTTCTCTCCCTCTCTCTCCTCCTCCTTTACTTCCCCAACTTTCACTGAGACCTCTGCCTCTCAAGTTGTAAGCAGATCCATGAAGTCTTAGTAGAAGAAAGAAAGAATGAAGGCCTTGTTTAAAGAGTGATGAAAGAATTATAGATACAAATTAAAAGCCTCCAAAATGTTTTCTTCTAAATCTGAAGGTTAAAAAAAGTCAATTATATCTCACATTTCTAAAACACTGGGTGCCTCATCGTTTTTGTACAATAGAGTCTCACAGAAAAAGATGCAGTTAGAAAAAGGAGTTAAAAATAACTTTAATAACACCATTCCCTACCCTTAGTTAACTGAACTTGCCTTAAAAAAATCTTTTTAGGGCCCTCCTAGTGGCGCAGCGGGTTAAAGCACAGCACTAAGAGGCTTGAGTCACTTCCACATGAGTTCGATTCCTGCCTGCCCCAGAGGTGACCACATGGCGTGGCAGACCTCTCCTGCTCCTCTCAGCAGTGTACTTCTTTGATCTGCATGTTCTGCTCCCCACTCTGTCTCTGGTGAATCCTCTCACCCTCCGCATCTCTGGCCTGTACCCCAGTTCTGTATGAATATTAAAAAAAAATCTTTTTAGGAGATGTGATATATATACACAATGGAATATCACTCAGCGATGAAAAAAGATAAACACATGTCTTTTGCAGCAACATGGATAGAGCTGGAAGGGATTGTGCTTAGTGAAAATAGCCAGAAAGAAAAGGGAAAATACCGGATGGTTTTACTCATAGCAGGAACATAAAGGATTGGGGGGAAAGTAATAATAATAATGAACAACTATATACCAGAGACATTTGGAGTGGAGTGGGGAATGGGATGAAAAATGTGGGGTGGGGGCAGGGGAAGTACACTGAACTGTGGTGATGGGAAGTTCACAGGGATTACAACTGAGATGGAAAAGGCACAAAATTATATAAAATAAACTATTATATTATTTTAAAAAATCCTTTTAGGTTTAAAGATCATTCTAGGCTTTATTAGGTAGTATTATTTTGCCAAATTATCAAGGTCTATGATCTTTCTTAATGTGTTCAATGAAATAAGTCACACTTTTTGTTTCTTTCAAAATTCTTAAGTTATGGAAGGCCTTGGGTAATCCATACTTCAGGATGCAGAGGTTCTCCTGCCAACAGTAGAGTTAACTGGAAGCATGTTCCATACCCCCCAAAACGCAGGACAGTGCCCTAAAACATCTGTAAACACTTATATTTATATTCACCATGATAAAATTAAATTAAATTTAAAAATTGAGAATTAACTGTAACTATAACAACACAGCTGTTTTACTGCTTTGCAAAATTAACTTCACAGTCAAACAAAGCTAGTAATCCTTAGAGTAGTTTCCATATTTAAACAGTTAAATTTCCCATGAACTTAAGTTATATCTTTTTCAGCTTACTGAAGGATTTATATGACTGGGAGTCTGTAAACTAGAAAGTGGGGACTGCTATCCACAGCAATCATTAGGGGTCACATATTCATGTATTTAAAGACTATATCAAAGCTTTTCTTTCTTTTTTTCATTTTGTCATAGTCTCTAATAATCTTGCTGGTTTTCTTTGAAAATAAAAAAGGCAGGATTTACTTGTCAGTCTTCTTTTTGTATTGAATGAGTTATGAATGCTGGCTAGTAATCATTTCCATTTTAAGGTTCCTACATTTCAAACACTTCAATGCACAATACAAACAAGGCAGAAACTTACGACAAGTCCAGATTTTTTTTTGGCGCACAATATCCCACAGATGCCACAGAGTAGAAACTGAAAAGGAAAAGAAGAACAATTATTTCATATCCAAAGATAAGAGAACCCCTAGTTTTTAATTTACAGTTCATTCATGACACTTGCTCTAGGAAGCTCAGAAATTTTACAATCCTATCAAATGTTGGAAAGGAAAATATCTCCTTCTAGAATAGGAAGGGAAAAAATTCAAATCTAAATCTATAGTTTCAAGGTTAATATAAATAATGGTGAACTAAATAAAAAATATAATCAGCTTTACCACCAGGCAAAATTATGAAGTAAATTAATTCAGAGTGCCGTTGGTCCTGTGTCTATTCCCGGCCTTCTTGTCTTTTCTTTTCCCTTTTCAGGGAAAAAAAAGTGGTAAGATTGCAATCATTCATACAAGCTATTAAGTCAACTGGCTCAACTACCAGCAGGGAATCTATCACCAATAAAAGATAATGCATCCTGCAGGGAGATGTTTTTCTTTCTTTTTAAAGATTTATTTATTTATGAATACAAGAACTAAAGTACAGGCCAGAGGTGGGGGGGGAGGGAGCTGGAAGAGGAATGTGTGGGTGAAAAAATTCACCGGAGACAGAGAGGGGAGCAGAACAGGCAGATGCACCGAAATACACTTCTGAGGGGAGCAGAAGATGAGACAAGAGAGGTCTGCTGCGCCATGGGGGTCACCCCCTGGCCGGGGACCGGGGACCGGGGATCGTGCTTTAACCCAGTTGGGCCGCCAGGGAGGGCCTGCCGTGAGATGATTTTCTATAGAGACATTCTTTCATCTCTCAAATGATGTCAGATAAAATAGCTACCTCCTCATTCTACCAGTAATAATGCCCTTGTGGAAAGATCAGAAGAACCAGGGAATGAAGTCTTTGATGTCATGTAATTTCTTACAAAGAAACACATTGGTGACTTAATTTCTTTGCAAAAAGCAGCTGTTTATCAGTAAACATTTTGGTTATCAGAAAAAAGTAAATTATTTAATTTGGATAGAAACACTTAGGGTCTTTTGAATCCACATTTGTATATATTTCTAGTAGAGGTAAACCACCTACATAAAAGAATATGTTCATTAGTAAGTCCACAAAAGGTTTGAAGACTTGTAAAGAAAATTTTGAAGGTGACTAAACTTACTATCCTTAGATTTTCCCCTAAAATTGTGCTCTTATAACTAGTAACATAAAAGGTTTTACTGAGTATTCTATATGTGTATAGAATTGTAAAAATACACATCCAAAATATTCTAAGGATTATCTCAAATAATATATTTATGTGCAGCACAAGCAAAATTTGATTTAAAAAGTGGATAAGGGAAGTTTCCCTTTTCAATGAGGCATTTTATGTAAGGGATCAAACATAGCACAAGGATGTAAAATACTTTGGTATATACTATAAATAATCTTTGAAATTAATGGAGAGAGGTTCAGGATCATTTACTTGATAAATTAAATAAGGGAAATCTGGTAACCTTCCAAAACATTAGATACTAAAAGAGCTGTGAAACTTTTTGAATATTTAAATGTATAAAAATTTATAAATGTGGCAGGAGAAAAGATGAAGTTAAATATTTATACAATTTTAGAAGAGTGGGCAGATTTTTCTAAACATAGTGCCAAAGTCATAGACAAAAATGGAAAGTACTTATAAATATTAAAACATAGCATTATAATTTTGATAGTCAAAAATATCATGACACTCAAAATATTAAAATAGCAAAATGCATCATTTTGCGTAAAGCCGAAAAATAAAACTGGATTAGGTTCAGAAAGCATATGACAAAGGGTTAATATACTATATAAATAGTTCTGACAAGATGTTTTAAATACCATAAAACCATGACAGCATAGAGACTTGAACTTTTATAGATTTTGAATATTTGCCTGATTTTCAGAAAGCTTATAAACTTTTTCTAAATGGCCATTTCTCAACTCCCATCTGTGTTCTAGGTCTAGATGATCTTGTCCCAGATCTGATCTCATCTCACACTGTTCAGGCGGTGCTCAAGCAATTCTACTTTGGACCACTTCTGTACCTCTCAGTGCTTCCAAGCATCAGATCAAAGCCTTCGCCTGTCCTTTCCCTGGTTTCACAGACTAACCCAATATTCACCCTGAAAGTCCATTCACCCAGAACTCATTCTTGAAATAATTTGCACACAGTGTAGTTTTGTGTTCCTTGGACCTCCTTTGAAATCTATAAACATTGTCATTATTTATTTACAGCAAAGCCCAAGGGGATCTTAGGAGCATAAGCAGAGTTCTTCATTCCAGTCATTTCATTAGAACATTTAGATGGCAATGAAATTGTTACTTCCTGCTGTCCCACTTCCATGAGATGAAGCTACAGAATGGGACCTCAGAGGTTTGGAGAGAAAAAAAAAAATAGAGTAGAAGGGGACTCAAACAATATTTTTCTACTTTTATCAGGCATGGAGAGTTAAATACTATTTGATAGTTACTTCTATTAAAGTAGCCAAAATCTACATTTCTTAGAGGAAACCTGTAATCTGAGACAAAACAGGCACATGAAATACAATGCATATAAAATAATGGAATTCCTGAGGAGGCTCTAAAAGATCTTGATTCAAGTTTAGAGAGTTTACAGAGGAGAGAACAATAAGAGATAGATTATTTTTATTTCAGTGATTATCTTTAGTCCAACTTATAACATTGGAAAGGAGCTTTAAAAAATGACCTAATTCATTGACCCTCCCTGGTGGCACAGCTGGTTAAAGCTCAGCACTAGGAGGCTAACGCCAGTTCAGTATGAGTTCGATCCCAACCCCGGAGGTGACCACATGGCATGGCAGACCTCTCCTGACCTGCCCGCTGCACCCCTCAGCAGTGTGTTTCTATGATCTGCCTTTTCTGGTCCCCAGTCTGTCTCTGGTGAATCCTCTCACCGCCCCTGCACCTCTGGCCTGTACCCCAGCTCTGTATGTATAAATAAATAAATCTTAAAAAAAAAGATTAATTCCCCTTCTAGTTGAAACATGCATAGAAGTCCAGAGAGGTTCAGGGAGTTGCTCACAATCACACAGGGACGTCACAATTCACACACACACATATAATCCTAGACTTTACGTTTCTAAGTTTAATATTTCTGCTAATATAAATGAACTGACTTACAAAGGATTTTTAAATGATAGTGTGGTGTGCATTAGACTAGCAAATCCAGCCAGAATTGCACAATGGATACCTGATACTTGCAATTGTTCTCTTTGCTCTTGCCATTGTTGTTAATTTTTGTTGTAATATAAATAATTTTATGTTTATCCAATGGTACTACAGTCTAAATTTAAGTTTACCTTATTAAAGAAGGGGAATTCTTACAGTATTGCAAAATACTTTCTTTTCTCAACACAACTTCATCCAGCATGCGAAGTCCTCATCCACTTATTGAAATTATGTAAACCAAATTTTGGAAATTATGGAAAATATATAGAAAACAAATTGTTTTTTTTTTAAAGATTTATTTATTTATGCATACAAGAATAGGGCCAGAAGTGCAGGAGGGTGAGAGGATTCACCAGAGACAGAGTGGGGAGCAAAACAGGCAGATCTACTGAAATATACTGCTGAGGGGAGTAGTGGATGAGACAGGAGAGGTCTGCCAGGCCACGTGGGTCACCTCCCTGGCCAGGGATTGTACTCATGCTGCAGGGGCTGTAGCTAGAACAGGGAGGGCCCAAAAACAAATTAGTTAAAAAAAAGTAAAAGTGATGAATGAGCATACAACTTTACATTGGAAAATAAGTCTTTTTACCTGAAAAGATCAATGATTTAAATGTTTAAAGACAGCAAGAGTTATTTGCTTCACTCTTAAATATGAAACAATATAAATGCTGTGATCTAATATCAGGGCAACTGTATAACAAAATCAGTTAGTCTTGCAAATGGAATTTGATTCTAATTCTGATTTAATTCAACAGATTCAATGGATAACTAACATTTTGATTCACTGGAGGAGGAAGTAGAGCTGTTGTGGAAATAGTATTCTGTGGTTTGAGCGGCTTTTCTTAAGAAAAGGTACATAAAAGCTTTTTTTTTTTTTAAAGGATGTAGAAAGACAGGTGATGGCATTCTCACATTAACAATAATAAAAGCAGATAAACTATCAAATTATAAAGTCTCTGGAGATCATTAGAGAGCTGAGATTCCAAGTTAATGAAATGACCACAATTCAAAGGGGACAGGCTTCTCCAGAAAAACAACCTGTACACACAATGTCACCTGTTGCAGAACATGGGCAAAAGAGACACTTGTTATACATATAGGTGGGCGTAGAAGGAGCAAGCAAAGCTCTGCTTCTTCCTTAAACCCTCTCTTTTATAAAATAAATGTTTGAAGCCTCTGTCAAGCAGAGTGGCAAAACCTGTCATTTCTGAAGAATAAGCAAATATGGATTACTACGGTAACAGGAAGGGGAAAAAAAAAACTTTAGATAGAGAGAAGGACAAAAATTCATTTTGCACTTAATATCCTATGGCTGAGCTAAATGGCAATCTTCTACCACCAGCAGAGGGTCAGGAATCTCCTACTGAAGACCACTCACAACTGAAAGACTAAGTTTGGTTGTCTCAGGGAGGAAGAAACAGATTACTGAGATTTCACATTCTCTGAGGCCAGATTGGACTAGAATGACAAAGAAACTTGTACTCCACTACCTGTCCACCTATAACCATGAACCTAACAAGCAGAAGGAACAAGTGAACACAGTAGAGACCTAGAGAGAAGCAGGAGTGTTCCACGCCTGTGGTGGAGGAGCATTAACATGGAAAAGAGGTGAGGCCACCGGAGGCCACCGCTACTGGAATTTGAGGACTAAGGTGCATCAAGACAATTGTCACAAGAGTAAAATTCAGTTCCTTACTGTGATTCTACTTTTCATACTAAGAGTCTAAAGGAAGATCTTAAGATAAAACGGTTCAGAAATTCTGACAAAAAGTCTTTTGAAAATTTGAGCTGTTGTATCCAGCTAATTCAAGCAAGAAACTACAGCAAGACATGTTCACATGGGCA